TTAATAACTTTTTAATAAACAATACTTGATAATTGAAACTTTCTGAAGGTCACTCAAAAGGGTGGCCCCGACAACGTATGTCAAGGTCAACGTCATCGGTCATGTTACTTATCAGTACTGCTAAAGTACGTTACTAAACACTTTTTTAATAATAACTTTTTACAAAGTGCGACTCCTACCTGAAAGCTTCACAATACAACTCAGGGTGATGACCTTGACAACAGATTAAAAAATCATCCAAATCGGAATTGTTTCTGTTGTAAACATTTGCCATAATTTTTTTACTGATTTAAGATTTTTTAAAATCTACAAAAATTCCGGGATACTAGTCAAAGCTTCTACTATATTATACAATCATTCGTCAAGTCGCACGTTTAAAATCTATTTCAGTGAAAATAAAAATTCGGATGGTGTCCGGGAACAATGGAATTTCACTTGGGTCGTCGACTTCCTACATTACCCTCAAAGTATTAAGACGGGTAAACATATTTTTCTTAAAATTACCTTTTTTAGCGTGTACTTACCTGTACATCGTTACAGAAACAAACGGAAACGGGGAAGAAGCAAGAGACACACCTCCTGGTCGTTAGTTCCCCGAGACCCCAGACGTAAAAATGGCCCTACTTCTTTTGCGTTGACCATTATTTTTTTCGTTTGCCACCGTTACAGATACAACCGGTGATCGTGGAACGAGGTCGCGAAGCTACCTGTGGGGTGGGGTTGGGGGATACACACTGTAACAGAAGTTGAATCGTTTTGTGGGTCACTCGCGGCACGCAAAAACACGTTCGCGTTTTCGCGAGAGCAACTTTTATGGGATTACAACCGCGACGGTCGTTTCTCCCTTGTCCGGGGACTTGTACGTAGACAACAGGTCGAAAAAAAAGAACAGAAAAGCAACGGACTCGAATGGAATAACGTTACCCCACGGTCGAGAATTCGCGATCTTATTACGTGCGCCGGAAATGGAGGGAACGTTCGTCCTAATAGAAGACGTCCGCCGACATGAACGATTACTTGGTCGCTTGGGCCTTGTAAGAGTTGTGCACAATAGTCGAGGCTCTACTTTCACATACCGATCGTGTATTTTTTGTTATTTCTCACTTAACACAATTCTGTTACATTGTGGATAATAAAACCACGCCCGGAGTTTATATTTTTTTTTCTAACTTCCTGTCGCGATGATAGCGTTTGGAATAGTTCAATTAAGTCTGGAACAGCGGGGTCGTTATCGTCGGTTGAACGTGGGGAAAATGAAAAAATTCCTGGGCCTGACCGCTTCCTAAACCGCGAAATAAGCGGTTCACTCCCGTTTTTACGCGGCCTGAAAGTTTTGCATGGTTCCCAGCGCTTTCTGCATTTCGACCGCAGGAACCGCCCGCGGAACACGGGTAGGCCATTTAGCGGGCCAAGTGGTTAGGGGTTAGCAGGCGTATCGAAAACGAGGGTACAAGGCCATGGAGATTGCGGAAAATTGGTCCCTCTTCTGTCCTGTTCGTTGCTCGGTTTTCAGGAGGGTATGTTTTACCGAGTTGTTCCCCGCGTGCATTAGAAACTCGACGGTTTAAACTAAGCTTCCCTAGGACGCAAGTTTCATAATCGGCACCTTAAGATTAAACTTATTAACAGGTACATTAAGGTTTAATCCCGCGAACAAACACCTTCTTGCATGAAGTTACCAATTAGTAAGTTCAGCCTCATAATTGTCTTGGAACTTCGTACCCGTGGTTGTTTCGGGTTTCGATTATGGAACGGGTATACCTGGAAACGAAGTATCGATGCTATCCGATGTGTCTCATTAAAATTCCAGGCAAATCTTACACTCATGGTTTAATCTCTTCGTCGAATATATTTCATGCCTTTTACAGTCAACTTAATCAAGAATTCTTCCGAAACCTCCTAGGCCAATTTTCTAGAAATTTCGTTCGATGATATAATTCCCAGGTGTTAGGAAAAGGTACATATAAGTGTGAACAAATTGAAATTTTGAACGGCTATTTTTCGTATCTCTCTGTGCTTGGAAAGGTTAGCCAATGTACACGGACATATGGTGCAACTCTTGTCGTCGGTCCAGCGATGATCCACACGACGGTGCAGCAGATGCAGGGCCGAGAGGTTTCGGTTCCGCGGCCTACGCAGTTGGCATACATAATTCCGCGATTGTTATTGCAGGAAATCGCTGTATTCAGAATGTGTCTCGCACGGGAACCCGGATATTCCGACTACGCTGCACGCCGGAACTTCGGTATTTATGCGACGCGTTAACAGCGATGGTCCGTCTGTAACTGGTAACTGATCCGCGAAACGTAGATACTGTTTCACGGACGGCGTTGAAATAAAAGGAGATTTTATACAGTAGAACAAAATATCTGGAATTGAAGTCTCGTAATACAGCACAGAAATACAACCATTTATCGTATAATATTCCTAGAGTCCAACCTAGATCAATCCCAACGAGTGATTGTGGATCAGTTCAATTCAGATACAGTTTGGCGTTGAAATAAAAGGAGATTTTATACAGTAGAACAAAATATCTGGAATTGAAGATTCATAATACAGCAAAGAAAAACAACCATTTATCGTATAATATTCCGAGAGTCCAACCTAGATCAATCCCAACGAGTGATTGTGGATCAGTTCAATTCAGATACTGTTTGGCGTTGAAATAAAGGGAGATTTTATATACATATATAGTAGAACAACAAGATATGTGGACTTGGAGTCTTATAATATAGCAAAGATTGATAATAGTTTATCGTAATATATTCCAAGTGTCAAGTCGAAGTCAATTCTGAATAGTGATCGTAGATCAGTTCAATCATTTTTACAGAGCCCGTACGAAATGCGCTGGGCACGTAGTCGAGTCGAATGAACTCTGGAAATAATCGCGTCAATCTGGGCAAACGGGGAAAGAAGAAAGCAGAAGAGAACGCGCGACCAACGCACGCGTACTGAATCGCGCGTTTCCGGTATATCAAAACCGGACGCCACACAGACGGGAGCTCGTCAGGAATCATCGACAACGTCGCCGCGGGTGACTATTTAACTGATCCTCTTGATAGGATGTTTCCTTGCAAAATTATTAACAACGTATCGAGGCCGTGCGATCGACCACCGGAAACGCGCGTTAAAACAGCGCACGCGCGTCGCTGCTCGTTCCCTTCCGGCAACGTCGACGATCAATCTTGCATTAACTAATTATTGCTTTAATTAGAGAAGTCTGGCGCGTACCGTTGCGGTTGAAAAAACCCAGACTCCTCTCTGATGATTATTAATATTATAAAAACAACAGAACTTTTTAATTATACGTCGCGATTTCTCGAACTTCCATTATTTTCTCCTGAGATCAATTTTACTTGCTAAAAAACGCGACGAACTGGAACGTGTTCACTGTTCACCCAGGTACCCGTATGATTTGCGTTTCTCGAAGATGCACGAAGAGACGGTATCACGATTGACGTTACCATTAAGATAACAGGACGATTATTAAATCGGAGCCCCGGCTCCGCTCGTATTCATCCTCGTTATAATTAGAGACCGAGAGCCAGGACATCGTAATGACAATTTTCCCGGATCTCCTTAATATTTTCCGCCTCGACGGCGATAACGAAGGCAGATAAGAGCGAGGCGGGAAAAGGAAAATATCTCAAAAAGAACTAGACAGTACTTTTATTACGGGACAGGTTCATTACCGTTTGAATTGCCGCGTCGATCCCGATAATTGAAGACGTCCGATAATTGAAGAACGCCGTCGAAGCGTTTTTCTCCTAAAAAAATCCTACCGGAGCTGTTACGTAATTAAATTCAAATTCAACTGTAGAATTTTTCATTTTCCAGCTACCATCACAACGCAAAATATAATACACTTACTCTACGAATACTTAATCACCTTCTGATATTTATACAGAAAAGGTAGTTTATACCTGCTTTTGTTTAGTATTCTTTGTTCTCGTGCGAGGATTATTCGTGCCGCTGAAAATATCTCCGTGAAAAGGGGCCCCATTTTAACGAACTTTCTCTCCACGTTCCATTGTTTCAGCGTCGTCATCCAGCAGCACGAGGCACCCCGGTAACGAACGCGGCGCAACGATGACGCCGGAAAGATGGAGAAGACGGTCTCGTGTCGCGACGCGACACACGCTACGGCTGATCGTACAGATTCTACTGATACAGAATTTCGTCGCCGCCCAGATAGCCGAGTGCCCTCCCCCCGAGACAATTCCCGGCTGTCCCTGTTACAATTTCGAGGACGGTCTTTTCCTAGAATGCGCTGGCGCCACGGAAGAGACACTGAGGACCACTCTGCTGGGAGTTCGAAGCGCGGGCGGTGAGTACACGAGGCGGTGATGCAAAATACCGTGGCTGTCGACATAAAGGGTGAATTTTTTCGATACAGCAACGTCGCAACGTCCAATTTTCATTTATTAACGGAACGGCCCTAGGAACTGCTCTCGGAAACATGATAGTACCCGCGGAGACAGTTACCATAATCAGGGACAACAGGCTCGTGTTCGTACGAGTCCGTGGAATGGAAAATTAATTAGCATTTAATGGGTGATTTTAAAACGGCACTCGGATAAACATCTTATTTAGCGTATCGTCGATCAGAGAAGCGTTGTATCGCGTACCATCGACAAATTCAGCGCGTTTCAACTGAAATCGGTCGAATTCCTGAAACGGATATTAGACTCGTACAATAAATTGTAGATGATTAAATTTTCGATTAAATTGCTCGCGACAGATGCATGAAAATCTGGGGCCGCTGATAGCCGTGTCGGACAAAGCGTGTCGCGTAATGTCTAAATCTGTAGGGCATCCTCTCGATGTAGTAAGAACAGCCTCTTGGAGGAATTCATTATCTTTTACGCCGCTCGTAAAATCCCGAACGGGGCGGCATTCGAGCGACCGACGCAGCACGCGAAATCCAAACTCCCGCGTTATCGCAGCTTAATGAAATTAATGGGGGCGCCCTTTACGGCCGTTTTCCAGGACCGGGTACAATGGTGCAGTCGTTGAACGTTTACGAGCTGGACAAAACGGTGGAGGAATTGAAAGACGGCTGCTTTCCCGTTGGCTCTCAGATCAGACACCTGCAGATATCCCATTCGTCGCTGCGCGAGATCGACGAGGACGCGTTCAAGAATCTGAACAATAGCCTGGAATCGTTGGCGCTGGTCTCGAGTCGATTGCCGCACGTTCCGCAGAAATCGTTGGCCAAGCTGCCGAAGCTGGCCGCTTTGGATCTCGAGGCGAACCTGATACAGGACCTATCATCGTACTGCTTCTACGGGCTGAAGTTGATGAAGCTGACCCTGAAGGGTAATCAGATATCGAAGATCTCAGAGTACGCGTTCGCCGGGTTAGAGGACAGCCTGGGTGACCTGAACCTGGCCGAGAACAAGCTGAAATTGTTCCCGATGGCGCCACTGAGACGATTAGAGGGTTTAGCGTCTTTGAGACTCGCCTGGAACGAGATATCGGAGCTACCGGACGATGGCTACAGTCTGTTGAGCTCGTTGCTGGTCCTCGATCTAAGCAGCAACAACTTCGAGAAACTGTCCGAGGACTGTTTCCGGCCATGTCACTTCCTACACACCCTCTCCCTTTATTACAACTCGATCGAGACCATTCACAAGGACGCGTTCGTCTCGCTGAAAGACCTGGAGTTCATCGATCTCAGCCGCAATAAGATCGTATTCCTCGACGTGGCGACGTTCAAGGGGAACGAAAGGCTGCGTAACATCGAGCTAAGCCATAATCACATTCATTACATCGGCGGAGTTTTCGCGAGGCTGCCGGAGCTCAGGGAATTATACCTGGCGGAGAACAATATCCTCGAGATCCCGGGAGATGCGTTCATCGGCAGCGTGAGCCTCACGGTCGTTTACCTTCAGCAGAACGCCATCAGAAGAATCGACGGCAAGGGTCTCACCAGTCTCACGCAATTGGCTCAATTACATCTGAGCAACAACTACATCGAGAGGGTGCCGCAAGAGTTTCTCGAGCACTGTGAAAACCTATCTTCCCTGTCCCTTGACGGGAATAAGATCCGCGAGCTACAACCAGGCACTTTTCAGAAATTGCATCAACTTAGGGAGCTACGGCTCCAAGATAATCGCATCGCTGAGGTGAAGCGCGGTGTTTTTTCACCGTTGCCCTCTCTGTTGGAGCTTCATCTGCAAAACAACGCGATCACGGACATGGAGACGGGAGCGTTGAGAACACTGAACAGTCTTCAACACGTGAACCTGCAGGGGAATCAGTTGACTGTCTTGGGCGACGTTTTCCAGTTGTCCGCTTCCGAAACTTCTTCCGGCGGTAGCTCCTTGGTGTCCATTCAACTGGACAGCAATGGCCTCGCTGTGCTGCATAATGATTCTTTACGCGGACAAGCCTCCGTCAGGATCATGTGGCTTGGTCATAACAGGCTGACGCATCTCCAGGCACCTCTCTTCAGAGACCTGCTTCTGGTAGAACGACTCTACCTGACCAACAATTCGATATCGAGAATAGAGGACGGAGCCTTTCAGCCAATGCAGGCGCTCAAGTTCTTGGAACTGAGCATGAACAAGCTCCGTCACATCACCGCAAGAACGTTCTCCGAGTTACACGAACTGGAGGAATTGTATCTTCAGGATAACGGGCTAAGGCGATTGGATCCCTACGCTCTGACTGCGCTGAAGAAACTTAAAATACTCGACCTGGCGAATAATCATCTGACTGTTCTGCATGACGCCATATTCCAAGAGGGTCTACCGATCAGAACACTGAACCTAAAGAATTGCTCTATCATGAGCGTAGAGACCGGTGCTTTCCGTGGACTCAGCAATCTGTCTGACCTGAATCTGGACGGCAATTTACTTACAGCCTCTGCCCTCTTGAATCTACGCATCCCTGGATTGCGTACTTTAGCAGCATCTGGTAACAACTTCAGCCAGATCTCCGAGCACAGTCTGAACGGACTTCCATCGTTGCAAGAACTGTTGCTGGACGACGCGCAGATCGCTCAATTGCCAGAGGTGATCTTCGTGTTGAATCGAAACTTGGCCCGACTAAATTTAGACAGAAACCAACTTCGCAGTCTACCTCCAGGCGTCTTCGATAGACTGTTGTCTCTTCGGGAGATTCGAGTGGATCACAATCGATTCCAAGACATCCCCTATTCAGCGTTGGCCAATGCTCTCAACTTGGAAATCCTCTCGCTGTCCAACAATGAGATCGTGAACGTGGACGTGGCCAGTTTCGCCAGCCTAAAGTACCTGAGGGAGTTAGATCTTAGCCGCAATCATATTGAAAAGATGTCTGGCTTCGCCATGGCCAATTTGTCGCGACTGATTTCTGTGGACCTTAGTCACAATCATCTGAACGCTCTGCCGGCAAACTTTTTCGTCCATTCCTCTATGTTGCGCAGAGTGGACCTGTCGGGGAACAAGTTCAGGCAAATCCCAGCCGTAGCACTCTCCGGCCAGAATCTTCCCGGATTATCCTGGCTGAACTTAACGAGAAATCCTCTGAACAGAATCCATGATCCACCCTCGGACGCAATGTACCCTAGCCTTCAAGAGATCCATATATCCGGTACCAATCTAAGCATAGTCACGTCTCAGGATTTCGAGGCTTTTCCAGCCTTGTTGCACCTGTATCTGGACCAGAACTCCATCCAGAGGGTTTCACCAGGGGCATTCAGGAGCTTGCCCAACCTTTTGACGCTACACCTTGGAATGAACAGCCTGGAGATCCTACCTAAGGAAAGACTCAAAGGAATGGAGCACTTGAGGATATTAAATTTAACCCATAATCGATTGAAGGAACTCGAAGAGTTTCCCGATGATCTCAAGTCATTGCAGATACTGGATCTTTCGTACAATCAGATCGGGATCGTGGGCAAAGTGACATTCAAGAACTTGGTTAGCTTGGTGGAATTGCATCTGTACGGTAACTGGATCAACGCGATTTCTAGCGAGGCATTTAGACCGTTGAAGAAGCTGCGGGTGTTGGACCTTAGTAGGAATTATTTGGAGAACCTTCCGCTGAACGCTTTTCGACCACTGGAGACACAGATACGGAGCTTACGTGCTGAAGGTAACGTAAATATCGAAATACTTAGTGAATTAGAGAAGTCGGAAACACAGGGTCAATTTATTGAAAACGGTAACACAAAGGGGAAAAGTCGTTTCGATTAACGCGACATCAATGTTTCATTTCCTCGGGCGGCTTTTATTCAAGGAACATGCGAGGCAGTGGGAATAATAGTATACGTATCGGTGCTATCGATTCATATGGAGTTACTACTGCTGCAAATCCAATCATATCGCTGGTCACGTACAATCGTCCCGAATCGATACTCAACAGTGGGACAATCAAACACGCTCTCCCATTCTGTCTCATCCTCTCCCCTCGAGTCTGCGAACTAGTCCCTTGCGGAAGTGTAACGTCCGCCAGCTGCTGCTCTTAATCCCCCCTAAAAGATTTCCAAATTTAATGTGGGCCCTGTGGTCCAGACCACGTCCTGTTTCAGATCGAAGTTTCAATAGTTTCGGGTATTCCAGTCATTCCTGACCGAGTTTCCAGCATATAAATCGTACTTACGTACACGTTTACTCATGAATTGCAAGTATAATTACACTTCTATCATGGCGAAAACCTAAATTTTCTAAACGAATAATACAAATGGTAATCAGTGACATCGGTCTGAGTTGAATGGAAATAGATTCAGACACACAAGCTTCATTATGGACATTCTCGCCATCAGTGTATCGTCTGCTGATTTAATGACACCACTGACACAATACCCTTATTCAGGACACCAATTACATTAAGAAGGAGTAAATGCAACCAGCCATAACTCGATCATTCGGTCAATGTTCACAGAGAATCCGTTACACTGCGGCTGCGAGTCGCAAGAACTCTGGGAATGGTTGAGGGACCATCAGAAGCTAGTTAGCGGAGTGGGCGGTGGTCGTGGTCGCGGAAGAAACGGCGTCGGAGTCGGGAACGTCGAGGGTGGTCTGCTAAAATGCGAGCAACCGCCGGAGCTGCGGGGTCTGGTTTTCCTCGATCTCGACCCTCATGCTTTCTGCTCTGCTCCGCTGGTCCTGAAACTCGCGATTCAAGACATCCAGCCGTTCTCTGTCCTCGTCTCGTGGCAGAGCAGAAACCATTCCGGGCTGCACGGTTACCAAGTGGCTTATCATGCGTTGGACAATGTCGACGAGGTAGGTCTTTTAATGAAAATATGAACCGGGATTCTCTCTTCGGAGCATCATTATTCTTCACTAACCCTTACATTTTCCTTGGTCGATGAACAATGGTCTACTTAGGATCCATTGAAACGATTTGCATGCCACCGACGAAAAGTTTGCTCATGAAAGAAACTGATCACCTCTGGCAAAAACTACTAAAAAAGTCTTTGCAATCAGGTGCATGTAACGTTTCTTAATTATTGAAACTAATTAACGTTCCAGGTACGAGGTAAACTGCTAGACCCTAAAGCACGTTCGGTAAGGCTGACAAAGCTAGCCTCGGACACACGGTACCTGATTTGCGTCCTGGGTCTTGGCAGCTGGGGCACGCCAATCCCGGAGGACATCGGTTCCTGGCGATGGAACGCGTCTCACGACGACGTGATCGAGGGCTCGGCCCTCCCCGTGATGGTAAACTCGCCCACAAGCCGATGTACAGAGGTTAGAACACTGGATGCGCCGGATTCAATAGTCGGGGACGGGACGATGAGCGACAGAGGGGGTTTGGCGACCATCTTGACCAGGCGGCTCGGTCTGATAGTTGGCAGTTGCATGGGCTTCGTCGTGTTCGTTGTCCTGATATCTGTCCTGGGTTACATGAAGATGAAGAAGCAACGGTCCACCGAGAAGAGAGACCAACCGTTGTCTTCCAATCCGCAGGCGTACATGTCCTACAGGCATTTCTCGCTGCAGAGCGGGGACAGGGCGGACAACGCTTGTCCCAGCTTCATCAGCAACATCGGAACCACGCCCCTGAACTCGTAGCACAAAGCGAAGGAGTCTCGCAAAGAGACTAATCACTGTGGTATCGAGATGAGCAACGCCCCCGGCTGCGAGGGTATCTTCGGTTAACCAGGATCAGAGGAGAGATGCCCAGTCGAGCGGAGGAGAAACGCCCGACCAAATTACGTGCAACCGATGTCACGGGACGATATCGTACCGGTTTCCGCGTTTCATTCAGGATTGAACGTCGCGGTACACGACCTGCCGATACGGTTCCTCGAGTTCCAGGAGGACAGAGACTGGTTCCGTTTGTTGAAGTAGCTAGGAACGATTTTAAGGAACGTGGTCTGAACCGGTGAGTTCAATTATGAGAAGTGCCAAAACCGACAGGCCTAGATCTTAACCGGGGACTCGGCGAGCTAGCCGCTTATACGTGTACGATTCGATCCTCTTGCACGGGAGATGTGATAATTATCGCGGCTCGATCGAGGCGTTTACGGATGCCAGGTGTCAGTGAAGAAAGTGTAGCGATTGACGCGTGCCAAATTTCGAAGACTAGTGTGCGTTTGTGTGTATCGGATGTTTTCTGGTTCCGTAAGGAACATGAACGAAGGGACTGGAATGGTATTGCTCATCGCCGCTGGTAGCCGCGTGAACGAACCGAATTCGTAGACTGATTTAACAGTGGGAAAATTCGTTTAACGATCGTTTCTGATCTTTTATTAAACCGATCCTACGACCATTCACGAGAACCGAACAACGACGCGAACCGAACCGCCCCATCCCCCTTTTTGGAACACTCGAATCTCTCCTACGAAGACTGATTTTTTAATGCTTTTCTCCCTCATCATTTCGACGTTCGTATTCTATGCACACGAGACACTGTTTTTTGTAAATAATCGACGTACAAAAAGAACCTGTCGCGCGACTCGACGACGTTCGTAATGACGCTCTTATACTCCGAGGGGTGACGATCTTGTCTCCCTTGAGCCCCTCTCTTCCACCCTCCCACCCTCTTACAATGCTGCGGAAGCAATATTACCACTTACTCGTAATCGATAGTCCCAAAAAACGAACAGCATCTTACAAGTTAAATTATGAACCGGTCTTCTAGAAGACTCGTGTCGTTTTTCATTTCATTATTTCCCTCTCTGCGCGCGACGACCACGACCGGAAGCTGGGGTCCCCCATTTTGTGTGCCAGAGAACCGCGTCACTGGATCGTCCAGGGATTTTCTCGAATAGTGACTGATTGAACGCGTGACTCCTGCCAAGTAACGAGACAAGAGAGAGAAAACTCGGTTTCATGTTGCCAAGTGTTATTGCGGTGACGTTGCGGAAGATGGATTTATTGTATATAGATAGAGGATATGTATACACATAGCATTCTTTATTATAGCCTAGGATTTCGGTTAATAAAAATACACCAAAGCTACGAGCTGGCTGTGGCCCCTTCCAAATTCCTTTTTCAAGGATACCTCGCTGGGAAATCTGATGTCAGGACCTTGAAAATTCGAGCTAAAAAGAGCTGGGACAAGGTAAGAGGAACCACGTGATTTCTGTTTAAAAATCCCAACCATTTGATAGTATGCCGGGATAGAAACGTCGAATCCTAGAGGCGAACATTCAGATCGAACGGAGTATCCGAAAACGTGTATTGCATGGCGATCCATTAAGTTCGACCCCGTACGGCTAATTAATTAATTATAATGGCGACTCGGTCCAAACAGCTTAGAGCGAGCTTGCGGTTCGCTTAGGTTCCCTAATTAACTCCGGGTCAGCCGGGGTATATCCCAGAGCGTCAATCAGTTCCGATCTGGCACGTCGAAACCAAAACAACCCACTCCCGGGGATATATCGGATTGCTCTCGCCGCCAATGTTCACTTGAATGCGAATCTGTTCCGCAACGATTCTGTACGAAATGATACGGATCAACCATGGTCACACGTGATCCATGGAACATTGAAAAAATCACAACTTTATCACTAATGAACAAATCATTATCGAAACGATTGATTTTTCTCTTTCAAGTATGACAAATAAGAAAAGATAAACCAAAAATGTCTATTCGAAAACGTGACGCGTTGAAATGAAGTTAATCGAGAAATTGTATCTCGTTCCAACACCCGAGAAATTTAATCACCGTAAATTTCCAGCGAATATTCTTCCTCGTTATCCCTAGAATGGTATGTTACGGTTCAAAATTTTTCACTGAAGCACCCATTGTCCGTTAGAAACAATTCACCCAAGGGTCGAAAGTTTCTGATTGGAGCCTTTCGAAAAGCACCACCGTGGACGATGCCGAATTGAATTATCCCGCGGGGTTGTTTCGACGAAGAAGCGACGTGTACGGACCGCCCGGATATAGGATTAGTATGAAAGCAGCCGTGATTCAAAGCCCGTGAGAAAAGATTCCTGGCGAAACCTGTATATTAATGGTGCCCCCAGGCACATGGCTCGCAATTACGAAGCGTAATTAACTCGGAGAGTTCGCTTAGCTACCATATGCCGAACATCTACGACCTCGCGAACTGTCATGGATAGAAAAAGCATCTGGCAGACGTTCTATCTTTTTCAAAGAAACCCGTTGACTTTCGTTCGCGAAACGTTCGAAATCATTTGGATCTCTGAGGATTAAACTACAAGATGAACCACGTATACAGGTACACGTGGATTAATTTTTTAATTCAAATGACCCAGAGTATACACACAGTTTGCCGTAATAATACCTATTTTCTCGTTTAAAATCGATTGCGAGAGTTTGGGAACACCTACTGTTACTTGTTCGTTTATCAGTAGAATATAACCATCATACGTCAGACATTAAAAGATCTTAGAACAATAATGTTTTACTGATGAAATGATAATAAATAAAGATACATCATTTAAAATAGAATGTACAAATTTCGAAACAGCTGATGTTACATCAGACCATTATAAGTAGAAAATTCCACCATATGTCAGACTGTAAGAGACCTTAGAACAACAAAGTTTCACTGATTTCTTTACCTAACGTTCGTGTGTTTCGTATATACGATACTAATTGTGTTTGATAAATGATGATAAGAACAAGGAGGGGGACAGTACTTTCTGCCAGAGTCCCCTCAACACATAAATCATTTTCACCCACGATGTAATGCAGTTTACCCCTGCGGGGGTTTCCATTTATTTTAACACACGTACGAACCACACGGTGGCTGTGCTTACTATCTGGAGCGAGAGGGTAGCGTCTTATTAATAGCGGTGCTTAAAATCCAAGGGTCCCTTGTAGCACCTTGTACTTTGCGGGGGGTTAACAATGGTCACCAGATAGAATCCGGCATAATGAGAGGGCGTGGGAGCCAATGGTTGGCCTGGGAAAGACTCATGGAACACGGAGAGCGATCCACAATTCTTCCAGACACTCGAGATTTCGAGATTTTCCGTAACACCTCTCGTGCACCTGTATCATCCGACTTTCTTGCAATTCACTGAGTTAACAAAAGATTAGAATAAACCACGTGCAGCTATTCTCAAACTATTAAGAAATCCATTCGTCAACAGTGTCTAATAAATAGTACCGTTACGGACTCAGTTCCTGATCAATTGCGTATATAGATACGGTTTTGTTCCACAAAATTGCTAAATAATTCTTAACTATTTTGAAATTTATACGTAAAATTCGATAGCTCGAACTGAAATACAGATATATGATTTAGAGAATCAGAAATTGCTCCCTTTGTACACCTTACTCTAAAAGTTAAATTACGATTTAATTGTATTACTATTTCTGCACTTTTGTTATTACCAGATTGATGATAAATCATAGACTTATTCGAATAATTTTTTTTGACTTCATTAATTTTCATGATTCCTCTTAAGTGATCAGAAACTCCGTCCATACGTATTCCATTAATTCAACTCCACATGTCACCATCGACAGAATTATCATGAATACAAAAACACAAGACAATCCAAAGAACTACAAATCACCTACACTGAGAAAAAAATCCTAATATCCTAAGACACCGGAAAAAAGTGCGTGCCAACAAAAAAAAAAGGGGGGCATATCTTAGATTCAGAAATTCACAAATCTAGAAACACCCGGTAGACAGCTGTGCGCATCGTAACGCGGTCGAATCGAGTGCGAGGATTGCCGCGGCGCCATGAATTCGCGCGGGCAGCGTTAATAAACGATAGAACGATTTACTTGCCGGCCCCGGCCATTTCTCGGTTCAAACGATGCGTTATAAATAATGGCCCGCGGCCATTGAGCCCTCTCCGGCGTTGTTCCGGTCGCGGCCGTGGAGAGCCGGTGGTCCCATTGTTGAAGCATTCGCCTCCGCCAGGACCGGGCCTTGCCCCCGTGGTTCAGTTTCTAAGTGCACCTATTAATAAGGTGCGCAGCACGCCATCCTAGCGTGGAGTGCAGCTGCACAACCTGACAAGATACCGTGAACCACCAGAAAAGATGTAGTCGCCATAGCAGAGGCTCCGCAGACCATAACGCTCTGCACTACCGAAGAACTTGCTGTGCACGAGCAATTGTATTAGACACGATATCCGTGTACCTCGCCGCACGGGGGCGACCTACAATATCATCCTCTTCTGTTTTTTCTCATCATCCATCCCCCTGATACTCCACTCACTGTTTGCTGAGAAGCGAGCGGGGTCGATGAGCAGGTTGAATAATTGGAATCCGGGTGGTTCGATCGAATTCTTTGTGATTTCATTTTTCATTCGATTTACGCTCTTTAAGGGGTTCGCTTACTCTGGCTGCTTGAAACTCATGGGTACCTTTGTGAATAACACATTACAGTAGCTTCTGCATTTGACGTTGTATCTAGCTGGGACTCCATACGACGCCTTTATAGTTTTTATCAATTTTACCAATTTAATTTGAATGATTAATATTTTGAACTATATTGAAATATTTAAATGGAAGAAATTTATAATCATTGCTAATTTGCGGGTGCTTTCTTATAAGACGAATTGGGGAAACATTCGGTGGGAGCAATGGAAGCGTGGAGGAAAGGGAACGCGTATACACGAATATGGTGCGC